TTGTGCCTTTACTCACCATACAAGCTTAGATGTACAGTTATGGTGAACAAAACATGTAGATACTTATATATAACGTCTGTATATAGTGAATTATAGCAAAAACAGTATTGTGGGAGGAGAATGTGGGTGAGTCAGATGACTTGAGGGAGGGCGGGAGTGGTTGGCTGGTACACGGCGGTCACTCCTCGTTACTTTTTGACTCATAATAGCTACTTAGTGGTTCGTTATAGTGAACAAAACATGCAGATACTTATATATAACCTGTGCTTATAGTGTAATAACCGACAAAGTATTTGTTCACTGATTGATGAACATAATTGAATCAACAATATGCACACCATATTTTTGAGTACAGCAATGATTCACTCATTTTATTATATAAATATATCAAACTACACACTATTGAATAATACAGCAAAAAAACTATGAAAAATCAATCAGAGACATGGACTGTGAAATAATTAGGTAATAAAATATCTCTTCTCAAGATAACCTCAAGACATTGAAATAATTAGGTAAATATCTCTTTGTGGCAACTCCGGCCTGACAGCTGGCGAGCAACAGATCGCCTGGGACGCACGCTGAGTCAGCGCCTATAATTTGCCAGACTTCCCCGCCCTATAGCGGGCATTATATGCCACTTACGATTTTTTTTATTATTTTTTCCGTGAACACAAATTAACAGGTTAGGAAGAAAAAATTATTTTTTTTTTTTTTTTTTTTTTTTCAAAATTACATGCGCCTGTGGGGAAGAAAGGATATTATACCCCTAGCATGTTAAGTTAACACTTTGGCGTACCCCGCGCGCCACCCCTCAACTGTGCGATATGGGACCCAGGGTGTCACGGGAGCGCGTGTTAATTCTGAAAAGTGTATACTCTCTTCAACTTTGTCACCTTAATTCTCGTCCTACGAGATTAAATTTGGTATCATTGTGTTCGCAATAGAATTCTCTACAGCACTAAATGCATATAAACTCCAAAAGCCCGGCTAATTTCCCGCAGCAAACAGAGAAAGTGCGAACGAGTTACCCAGGAGCGCGCAAACGCGATAAAATGTTTTCACTATTTTCACTCTGGTCACCTCAATTTTCGTCTTAGGTCTTTCATTTTGGTCTCAATGGGTTCGCAAAAGAATTCTCTAGAGGAACATTAGCATATAAAATAAAAAACCTGGTCACGCTCCAACCGCCGACGAGTTGAAGACGGGCCACGCGTTAGCCGCGAGTGAGCGCTCAGACGCCTTCCAGCTACACTCCCAATTCCCGCCCTTTTCAAGCCTTTCTTTCGCAATTTTCTTCCTGGAAGGGCCTTGTTCATGATCACTATCCATCGTGGAGTAAGCGTAGATAGTTTCTAAAGCCGCAGTAAGAAATATAGCCACGGAAAATAGCCGAAATGTTCACACGTTTGAGATGCGATGGGAGGCGACATTGGTCACAACAGTGGAGCGAAAACAATGGGCCCACGGCGTGTGCCAAGCCGCCTGAGGGCCACGAGGCTCAACAAAGAAAATGGGAAGACATCGGTGCGCATTTTAAAACCAGTCCCCCAAAAATCGGATAAAAACCTGATTTTTGGCGATTATTTAAAATGGATGACGCAATGCTGCGTCATCCCCGGCATTACCGACAGTAAACGGATGACGCAATGCTGCGTCATGCCTGGGCGAAAGTGTTAAGGGTTAATCTGTCGGTGACGGAACTGGAAAAGAATGAATCGGGTACTTGCGCACTGTACACATATTTACCTTAGTGTAAATACCTAAGTGTAGTTACAGGATTAGAGCAACTTTCGTTGTATCCCATCTACCCAGTACTCTTTGTTGTATAATGCTTTGAAACTACAGTACTGACGGTTTTGGACTCCTCCACCTTCTCACTTAACTTGTTCCAACCGTCTACCACTCTGTTTGCAAAAGGGAACTTTCTTATATTTCTTTGACAGCTTTGTTTAGTTAGATTAAATCAACATCCTCTCGAAGTTTCAAGTCTCAGGAACTCTTCCCTATCAATTTTGTCGATTCCTTTTATTTTGCGAGTGGTGATCGCGTTACCTCTTTTTTTTTTATCTTCTACTTTTGGCATACTTAATGCCTCTAACCTCTCCTCATAGCTCTTGTCTTTCAGTTCTGGGAGCCATTTCGTTGCATGTCTTTGCACATTTTCTAGTTTCCATTTTTTCAAGATGTGCTGCTTAATATATGGGCACTATAGAACTGCTTCATATTCCAGCCTTGGTCTCAAAAAGGTCGTGAACAATTTTAGTATTTCACCATCCACGTATTTAAAAGCAATTCTAAAACTGGAAAGTATAGCATAGGCTCCTCTCATAATATTCTTTGTGGTGTTTATGTGGTGGTAAACCTGCATCAGAAACTTGAGATGCATAGATTGGAGATGGTTGAACCTGCAAGGCATGTCACTGGGCCAGTCTACTGAAAGAGGTGGTGCTAAGGGAGAACACCCGGGTCTGGGTCTGGACATCGAGCCAGAAGAGCTAGAGAGCAAGGCTGAGCTGGCCACCATGGGGCCAGAAAGATCACCTTCCTCAAGTATGCTTTCAGCCTGGACAGCACCCAGAGCATTTACTGAACAGAGGGAAAGAGCTAAATGAACCACCACCTCTACCAGTCCAGTTGAATTGCATCGGGGAACAGAACCACATTGGAGGGAAGCCCCCAGTTTCAATCCGATATGAAGAGGTTCACCTCAGGGTGACTAAATGTTTCACAGAGCCAACAGAAAGCTGCGTTGTCAATGGTTCACTCCAAGGAAATGTGCCAAAAGCTATCCAGGAGAAAGTTGGACACACCTTAGATCTTTTTACAAACAATGATGAACTGATTAGGGACATAATGATTACAAATACATGTTACTCAGATCACAACCTAATTGAAGTTCAGACGTGCATGGTTAATAGACTATAATCTCTAGTCTCTAATCGAAGAGGAGGTGAATTCAGCAAATTCAATTTCAATAGCAGAGTAACTGGAAACAAATAATCCAAACCCCTCACAGAAATATGCTGGGAACGACAGCAAGATAGTCCAAATTTAAACCATTGCCTTGAGAAAATAGGCCCAGTAGCACTAGAAATATGTGCAAGTCACATACCACTAAGGAGAAAAAGAAAAAGATGCAAACTGGAACGAGAACGGCGTTCCTTCTATAGGAGACGAAAACAAATTGTAGAACATATTAAATCCTCAACTCTATCCCAAAAATGACAAAGGCTATGTAGAGAAATAGAAATAATTCAGCTAAGGTTGCAAGAATCATACAAAATCCAGGAGAGACAACACAAAAGGCCACAAACACAAGTGGAATACTTTTTCTACTATGAAAAGTTTAGAACAAAAGTTACATCCTGCATTGGACCAGGTGAAATTCACCAACTCCTCCAAAACCATATCCCTTAACACCCTTGGGACCTACTCCAGGACAGCCAAATGAGCACCAATGCTGCAAACCACAAAAATCAAGCCTGCAAAGAGGCAGCTGCCTGAAAAACCTCTGTCTCGAGGCAAGCTCTGATAAGATACAGACCTAACAAGCAGAAAGGTTGTAGGACACGGGGGTTGAAGGTGTCACTGACCCAACAGGCAGCATGACTGAGACAGATGGAATAATCATTGGCATGTACCAATGTTGATGAGCACCCTTCCGACCAGCATGTAACGAGAGTGGGATCGACAAGTCGGTGCATTATGAGCACACACCACAGACCCACAGGGGAGTTGCCAGGCACTGAAAGTGACTAATCAAGTGGGACATCTGGGCATAAGGCATGTTCACTGGAAGAACAGACACCAAATGAAGCCTGTAGGATAAATTTGACTGTGAAGTCTGTCCGCAGCTTACCGTAATGCACCCCACAATAAAACATCGACAAAGCAGCACACCCCCAACCACAATGAGTCAACGACTTGAGCACTACTCTAGGTAAGACTCGCCACTCTGGTGGCCTGGACCCAGATTCACGAAGCAGTTACGCAAGCACTTATGAACCTGTTCATCTTTCCTCAATCTTTGGCGACTTTCTTTACAATTATTAAACAGCTAATGAGCTTGGAAGCACCAGGAGGCTGTTTATAACAATAACAATAGTTGATTGGGAAGTTTTCATGCTTGTAAACTGTTTAATAAATATAACCAAAGCCGTCAAAGATTGAGGAAAGAGGTACGTGTCGTAAGTACTTGCGTAACAGCTTTATAAATCCGGGCCCTGACATGTTAGTGAACTCCCAAACACACCAGAAAAGGTACTCTAACACGTATATACAGTTTGAAGTGGAGATTATGTCAAGTGCACTCACAAAGTGTAGCTTGAAAATGTGCTTATGAAGCAAATACTGAGAAACTTGGAATGATATACAGTACTAGCATAATGGCCCCGACAGGCCAGAGTCCAAAGGATGGCCAGTACTTATCTAAGAGGAGAAGTGGGACTTGCTATGGTGAGAGACTCGGAAATATCTAACATCAGCAACAGGACTGAGCAGTCACCAGTGATGAAGTCGGGAGCTCCAGGATGCCACCTGTTGGCAGCTTTGTGCTCTAGAGGGAGTTTTGTACCTAGTTTTGAGTGATCCAGTGAATTATTTGTGGCATCTGTTGGCTGTTTCAGTGCTTCATTTTCATGAACCATGCAGTTATCTACAGTATATTGTTTCATCTTCTTTCTGGGTGTGTTCCCAGTGCGGGGTGGTTGTAACGATGCCCTGCTCCCTGGGCCTCTGGGAAGGCCAGGTTCTGGCTCTGGTCGCTGGTAAGCCAACAGGACACTTATGACTGACGTGACACAGTAATGGGTAGACATCTCGGTGGCATAGCTTCAAGGAATAACTTGAAGCATTTATATCTCATCTTGTATCTTATCATTACAGTATATATATTTAACATTTTCATGTTTAATTTCATTTTTGGATTGATTAATCTTAATTGTAAAATGTTTTTAATAAATGAAATAATTGAGACTAATGCAGGCTTCATGGTATAGTGTTTGGCAGCTGGGAGTAGCATCATGAACCGTGAAGCGGAGAGCTCGCGCATGAGACCACTGGCCAAAGCTGTAACTAAGACCATTGAGACGGTTAGAAATCTCCTAAGAGAACAGGTATGCACGTTTTGTTATGCTATCTAACTTCATTTAATGATTGGGTTAGGTTCCTGAAAACTGTCTTTAAACTTCAATATGTAGCTATTGAAATATGTTAATACTCGTCAGTAGGTATACACAAAAATTGTTTAAAAATATTTTCTTGGGGGAGGAGCTTGTAGCTCCCTGAAGTTATCTTGCTGAGCTAGCACCAAACTACTAGACTGCATCAGCCGTGGAGTTCAGATCAGCCTCTCGGGGACCAGAGCTTGACCCTGGCCCCCTCCCCTCACAAGATGCACAGGGAACTGATGACATTCCGGCACGTTGCCAGGAAAGGCGCCCAGAAAGTCAGCGAACCAATACAAACCACTGAGGGGGGTTCAAAAGAGACGAAGTCTTGCAACCCGCCAAATAAACTCCCCAACAATGAAAACAAAAGATCAAATTATCTTGAAAAAAGCACCACCCCTCCCACTTCTTTGAGGAGGGATGAGGGCCGCGGCTCAAGCTGTCCACTGCTTCAAGCAATCGGTTCTTCTGCTGATTCAGCACATGCTTCATGTCTTACAGTAAGGTTCCTGGATTGTCTGTAGGTTGTCGCTGGCCCCAGTGCTTTTTATCTAATAGCATCTTTGGACTTCGTCCTGTGTGGGCTTGGGTTTCTACACTGTTGGTGTATGTGGGCCTGTCATTTTAGCATGCTTAGAGCTGCATGTACTCAGGGTTACTTTCCCTGAATGCTCTAGTGCTGTCCCTGTAGCAGCACATTTAGGTCTGGCATAGCATTCCCTGTGCCTGCGTGTCTTGCTTGGTTTACCCTTCCAGCCCTGGAAATCCCCTATGGCTTCAGTGTGGCCAATGGGTGTTTTCCCTGAACCCATTCTTCCCTAGTGCAAATTTGAAGGTTGCTCGTCATCCATGTTATAGGGTGGCGATCAGTCTTTCTGCCTCTGCCATGCCACGTGTTAGGTTGAAAACACCTACGACCCAGAGTCATGTGGGGGTTTGTGCTTCCCATATGGCTCTTTTATCTGACCCCTCCCATTGAAGTTCATTTATATCATACAGCTGATATGCCTGAACTTATAGGTTTGTTTTGTCCATTTCCAGCAGTCTGGGTTGTGTGCCTGGTTCGATGCTCAGAGCTGTTCCACCTTGTGTTTAGGGAATCTGGAATTGGAGGTGGTGGTAAACGCCACCTTGACTCTGTTTGCTCCGCCTCTTCCGTTTTCTTAGGGCTTGGTTTGCCCTGCCTCTGATCTACACCCTAGTTTCAACCCTGAAACATCTGAGGTTTTCGGGTTGCAGCAGAATTTAGCTTGGGATGTGGCACGGCCTCCTCTGGGGGTAGCTCCTTCAGATTCAGGTGCAGAGGCAGTTAAGCAAGCTGGTCCCACACAGGTTTTGGGGTTTTCTTTTCTGCCATCCCCTTCTTCTGAAACTTCTCCCTTGGACTCTGTTTCTGTATTGGGCAGTGGGCATGGACAGTGGCTCTGCCCTGGGTTTTTCATGGTTGATTGCTGGGGTAGAGATGGAGTCAGATAGGGGGGCCCATTGGATTTCCTTGAACCCCAAGTGGGTTTTCATCCTTTTGGATGAGGACCTTTTGGCTTCAGGGGAAGAGGATTTTGTATCCCCCTTCTCGTATGATTTTGATTCGAATGCGACTCCCCAAAGGTTGGTTTTCGTGTACCTTTAGACTCGTTGGAATCATCTGTCTGGAGCTATCCATCCTCTTAAGTACAGTATCCACTCAATGTAATGGCCTATATGGGGCTGTACCCTGGTCGTTATTTCCGGAGCTCCGGTATTTCCAAAGTTAAGTGTCGGTAATTTTTCAAGTAACATTCAGGCAAGATATATTTTGTACAGAAAGCCACTGGGTCCACCACTCTAGTGCCTTCTACCCTGTGATGTCACAGATTCACGGCACATTGTTTTGATTTGTCGTGAGGCTGGAGTATTCATTCCGGGACTTTGTTGGACATACCTGCACAATCAAGGAATATCTGTGCATCATGTTGGCTCCAAATGCACTCATTGTGTCAGTGAAGGCTGACTGGTGGGTGGATGGGCAGGCAGGCAGGGATGGAGAGGCTGAAATGTAGGCAGGCAGGCAGGGATGGAGAGGCTGAAATGTAGGCAGGCAGGCAGGGATGGAGAGGCTGAAATGTAGGCAGGCAGGCAGGGATGGAGAGGCTGAAATGTAGGCAGGCAGGCAGGGATGGAGGTAGGCAGGCAGGCAGGCAGGCAGGCAGGGATGGAGAGGCTGAAATGTAGGCAGGCAGGCAGGGATGGAGAGGCTGAAATGTAGGCAGGCAGGCAGGCAGGGAGGGAGAGGCAAGGAGGGAGGGAGGTAGGCAGGCAGGCAGAGCTTGGGAGGGAGGCAGGCAGAGGCTGGGAGGGAGGCAGGGAGATAGTCAGGCAGGCAGAGGCTGAGTGGTAGGCAGGGAGGGAGAGGCAAGGAGGGAGGGAGGCAGGGAGGAAGAGGCAAGGAGGGAGGCAGGCAGGCAGGCAGGCAGGCAGAGCTTGGGAGAGAGGCAGGCAGAGGCTGGGTGGTAGGCAGGGAGGAAGAGGCAAGGAGGGAGGCAGGCAGAGCTTGGGAGAGAGGCAGGCAGAGGCTGGGTGGTAAGCAGGGGGGGAGAGGCAAGAGCTTGGGAGGGAGGCAGAGCTTGGGAGGCAGGCAGGCAGAGGCTGGGTGGTAGGCAGGGAGGGAGAGGCAAGGAGGGAGGCAGGCAGGCAGAGGCTGGGTGGTAGGCAGGAGGGAGAGGCAAGGAGGGAGGCAGGCAGGCAGAGCTTGGGAGAGAGGCAGGCAGAGGCTGGGTGGTAGGCAGGGAGGGAGAGGCAAGGAGGGAGGGAGGGAGGCAGGCAGGCAGTGGCTGGGAGGGAGAGGCAAGGAGGGAGGCAGGCAGGCAGAGCTTGGGACCTGCCAAACACACACCGGAACTACGACGTTGGTACAACGTTCGAACAAGTTTTAACACTTCCTAACTAGTTATAACAACCAATATAGCAAGTTGTAACAACGTTCTAATATGTCATAAACATGTTAAGCCAAGATGTAACAACTTTATTTCAAGTTGTAACTAGCAGAAAATACACAGTTACAGGTTGTGTTTCCAGGGGGAGGGAGGCAGGCAGAGGATGGGTTATAGGCTGGGAGAGAGAGGCAAGGAGGGAGGCAGGCGGGCAGGCAGGCAGGCAGGCAGGCAGGCAGGCAGGCAGGCAGGCAGGCAGGCAGGCAGGCAGGCAGGCAGGCAGGCAGGCAGGCAGGCAGGCAGGCAGGCAGAGTTAGTTTGGGAGGGAGGCAGGCAGAGGCTGGGTGGTAAACAGGGAGGGAGGCAGGGAGGCAGAGGCTGGGTGGTAGGCAGAGAGGGAGGCAGGCAGGCAGAGGCTGGGTGGTAGGCAGGGAGGGAGAGGATGGAAGAATGGAGGCATGGATTGATGGATGGATGGATTGATGGAGGGAGGGAGAGTTATAACAACCAATGGAGGGATGGATGTTGAATGGAGGTGAAGCAGAGGGAGCGTGTGTAGAGGACAGTATGGGGGGAGGGGCGGGTGGGGGCAGGTGTGTCGGTGGTGGGGGAAGGGACCGGCTCACTGATAAGCCTAACACACTTGACCCAGTTAACCAGATGTTTCTTAATTAAATTCTGGATGTACATCATATATATTTTTGGTTACAGATTTTGTTTAGTAATATTATTAGGATAATAAAAAGTTATAAAATAGTTGTTTCATGAATGCTTTATTGTATTAGATGGAGATTCTCCAGGCTGTTTCTGTCTGGCAGTCTACTGAGCCTTTTCCCAGAAGGGTCTTGTGGGAGGGGGGGAGAGCAGGAAGTGAGGGTGTGGGGAAATGAGGGAGTGGGGGAGAGGTGTAGTGAGGGTGAGGGAGGGGATGAAAGAGGTAGGCAGCCTGCTTGCCATGTGAGGACCCCCTGACTCAATACCGACCTTTGGTAATATCGACCGCGGGACCGTTATATGAGGCTCTAAATACCGGTCTCCCAAACCGGTTGTTATTACCGGCAGATCGGTATAAAAGAGGCCATTAAATTGAGTGGATACTGTACCTCCTGGGTAACCCTGGAGTATGCCTCTTTAGTGGACACTGCCTCTTTTGAGCTTGGGTTGTCTTCTTCCACCTTTTGGTTGCATTATGAGATCCTGGAGTCATTCTAGCTAGTGGACAATCCTCTGTTTTTACTTTGGATTTGGCACGGCTTTTGTCATTCCTGCATGTTTGAGTGGCATGAGGTGGTGACCATGTTTCAGGTGTTTTTCTGTGGAGAGCTCCTTCGGCTCCACGGAGCTATACCAGACTGATGTGCATATATTAGACTGTGGCAACAGTCTCGTTGCCTGTTGATGTTGAAGATGGAGTTCTAGGCCACCTGGGGACTGTCATGACCGCCAGAGAGAAGGAAGGTAAACAATAGAGCGTACAGGACGCCCGCCAAGCTTGGTAGCTACTAGTCATGTAATCATATTAAGTATTAAAGTCAGTAACCAAGTCCTTTACATCAACCCTACAGCAGAGCTAACCAATGCTGTGTGCTAAACGATGCTGTGTGCTAACCGATGCTGTGTGCTACCCAAGCTGTGTGCTACCCAAGCTGTTGCTGAAGAAACTGTACTGAGGAATCTGCCGACGTTGTGTACGAAACGACGCTTTGATGTGTACAAAACCTAGGAACAACACATGTACACAAGGGCTAGGTAAGAAGTCAGTTGCTGCTATATTGTGCACTGTTGTGAACTTTTGCATTAAAATGGGGACCAGGAACATTTAAGTGATAAGTTACATTTATTCAGTAAAAATGGCAAATATACCTCAGTTTCCTGCATTTGATCCTGACTGTGACCAGACAAACCTGTCACAGAGGTGGGTCAAATGGCTTAAAAAGTTTGAAAATTTGTTGATAGTTTCTGACATCAAAAGTGCTGAAAGAAAGCGTGCCTTTCTACTTCATTATGCAGGTGATAGAGTTTGTGACATCTTTGACA